GTTAGTTCTAGAATTTGTAGCCCCCCTTAAATAACCTCTATTTTTTCTCTTATTCATCATCTCCTCTACATGTACTTTTGACATTCCCTCAATTTAGATGTTATGCTTAAAATCAGCGTTGCATATCTTAAAATAGCACATAAATTAGCAAGCTGGAGTAATGCCAAACATCCATCATACAGGAAATCAAAAGAATACAGTATTACCAGTGGAACACATACATAGAAAACAAGAGATTCTCAGTACACCTTAGTGAGTACCCTTCGCCCTCACATCAAACAAAGTTACATACAATATAGGGTGGAGTATCTTCTTGTTTAAAGCAAATGTTGATATTGCCTAGAGGTAGAACAAATAAGAACACATAATAGTGCAATATTGTCTAAATCACAAATGGAATGAAAAGGAAATATGTGAAAATACACTCACAAAACAAGAGCCTATATACTAAGGCTCAATCTTCCAGCGTTGTGGGATTAAGGATCCCACTACCTTCTTTATACTGCCAGGAGGTGGTAAATAATCCAATGTCCTCTCGCAGATAGGTATAAGTAGTTAAAGTGCTTTAATAATGAAGTGCACAAATAAAGTAAAAAACAAGACCTTACAATTGAAGGTGACCTTGTTTAGATAGTCTCTGGTTGCAAAATGCGTTTCGCCTCATATAGAGGCTTCGTCAATTGCTCTAGTTGCTTGTTGTCAATGTTCTATATTTATATTGTGTATTTTGCGCCCTTTTTCCTTTAACGCGGCACTTCCGCTTCCGCGTTCCATCAGTGGAACGCATTAGTTCAATCACTTCCGGTTTCGGCATTTGCGTTCCATCGGTGGAACGCATGCGCCCTTGTTCCGGTTTTCATACATTGGGACGTATCCATGCGTTCCACTTTACTTCATTAGTTGGAGGGAGTCCATTAATACATAAGATCACTGGCATTTTGTGAAAATAGCTCAAAAAGAGAATACAAATGAAAAGCAAGATAAATATAAAAACATGCAAATGACTCTATAAAGAAGACTTCTAACATCATAAATATATTGCATAAATCCTATTCTCACATGGAGCAAGAAAAAAGTAAAGCGAAAGTGCCATGATTAAGGAAAAAGGGCGCAAAATACACGATATAAATATAGAACATTGACAACAAGCAACTAGAGCAACTGACGAAGCCTCTATATGAGGCAAAACGCGTTTTGCAACCAGAGACTATCTCAACAAGGTCACCTTCAATTGTAAGGTCTTGTTTTTTACTTTATTTGTGCACTTTATTATTAAAGCACTTTAACTACTTATACCTATCTGCGAGAGGACATTGGATTATTTACCACCTCCTGGCAGTATAAAGAAGGTAGTGGGATCCTTAATCCCACAATGCTGGAAGATTGAGCCTTAGTATATAGGCTCTTGTTTTGTGAGTGTATTTTCACATATTTCCTTTTCATTCCATTTGTGATTTAGACAATATTGCACTATTATGTGTTCTTATTTGTTCTACCTCTAGGCAATATCAACATTTGCTTTAAACAAGAAGATACTCCACCCTATATTGTATGTATCCATCATACAGGGTTTAAATAATATTCCCTTTTAACCCTTTTTTTTCTAAACCATTTTAGTCTGCAAAACCCACATGTACATGTACATTACATTACATTACATGACATGACATGACAGCCTGCCAAAGGCTTGAAAATCATTTTGCCACCTGCCAAAGGTGAACCTTGACCAAAGAGGAATTGTCTACCATAGACAATTGTACACAATACTGCCTGCCAAAGGCTTTCCTCCAACCCAAGGAGTAATAGAAGTCTACCTAAGACTTAAAAAAATATGTGTGTCAAAGACATTATGCAGTGAAATTCCCCTTTAAATAAACGTAGAAATGCAATGTATGAAGGATGGAAAAAGAAAAGTAAAAGAATAAAGGTCAAATAGACACCCAATCCTCTTACCTTTTTTTTTGTTCCATTCAAATGCACCCCAAAAACTTCTGACACCAATTTGTTGGTGATCAAATCAGCCCGGGCCCTTTGTGGATGATGGATATTTGCCAACTCATTCAGAGCTCTGGAAATTGGAAATGAATAGCAGAGATGTGTTCAATAACCAATTCAAATTGTATTCATCCGTCAGTTATATTTATACCCCGTTTTCATAGCTGGATGGGAGGGGGGAAAATGAGCATATAGGCGTGGCAATGACATAGATTGTTTTTCACAAGTTATGAGCAGCTGTTTCTTATTATAATTCTACGTTATATAACGCATGCATATTTGATCAAAACCAGATATTTACAAATACCAAAAACTTGGACAATTAACAAGAACATTTCAATATCAGTATGGTCATTCTCGTAACTGCCAGAGGTCCATAAGAGCCTGACTGCCCCTCCGGGCCAACCGATAGTCTCGGGTATTGACAATATAACCCAAAATGGGAGTATATATATTGACAGAATTTTAAGACCATTTGTTGAAAAGCTCCCTTCATACCTCAGAGACACGAAACAAACTTTGAATACCCTCCTCGATTTTGATGTTCCACCCTCAGCACAATTATGCAGCTTGGATATTGAAGCACTATACTCCTCGATTCCTCACTCGAATGGTATTAAACACACTGGCCATTTCCTCGAATCAAGAGGTGAACAACATTCCTTACATTCTAACTTTTGCCTTACACTTTTGGAATATATATTGACACACAAGTATTTCATTTTTAAAAATAAATTTTACCACCAGATAAGGGGCACTGCTATGGGGACAGCTTGTGCCCCATCGTATGCCAATTTATATCTACGATGGTGGGAAGAACACTGATTCATTCTGAGAGTATTTCCAAGTACCTCCCCCTCATCTGCTTGTGGTGTCGCTATATAGACGACGTACTCGTAGTGTGGTGTGGCAATAGGCACGAGTTTGATGAATTTGTATGGCTACTTAATATTGATGATGAAAATATAAGATTTACGAGCGAATTTGGTGGAAACAGTCTGAATTTTCTTGATTTGACAATTTTAGTTACTGAAACTAACCAAATACATACCACTCTTTATAAAAAACCTTTGTCATCGAATAACCTTTTGAAATGGGCCAGTTTTCACCCTACACCTGTAAAGCGAGGTATCCCGAAAGGCCAATACCTACGTGTGAGATGGAATTGTAGCAATCTAGAGGAATTTCAGCTAAAAGCTAGAGAACTCGGGAAGTCTTTCAAAGAGAAGGGCTATCAAAGAGAAGGGCTATCCTAATTAAGCGTATAAGAGGGCTTTGGAATCTGACCTTAATTCACTGCTTAGTGAATCCGTACATAATAGATCAGATAAATTCTCATCATCAAAAACTATAAGACTGATAGCCACATATGATGCTGGGTGGGAAAAGGTGAGAACCTCTTTAAAACGCTTCTGGCCACTATTAACTAGAGATGAACAGATGAACATCTACACAAGATAGTAGCCTCCTCTGTTACCCTTACAGCCCGTAGAGGTAAAAACCTCCGTGACATTTTGACTCCGAGCCATTTACAAACTAGACAATCTCTAACTAAAACTTGGTTTCATAATACTGTCACTGGGACCTATGGATGTGGCAGATGCGTCTCATGTAAATTTAAAAAAGAAATTCTAAGAAAGTCTGGGATAGTGATAACCAGGAATCTTTTGAGATAACTTCTTTTTTTAACTGTAATACAACAGGATTGGTTTATTTGCTCACTTGCCAATGTAATCAGAAAAATACGTGGGCAAAACTTTCCGGCCTTTTAAAAAACGAATGCAAGAACATATTCGATCCCCAAATATAATCCAATATCAAGGCACCTACGTGAATATCATGGAGGTGACTCTAAGGAGCTACGTTTCTGTGGCCTGGAACTAGTCAAAAAGAATGTAAGGAGGGGAGACTATGATAAGTTTCTCAGACAGAGAGAGTGCTTTTGGATTTATCAACTGAAAACACTTAATCCAAAAGGGTTGAATGAGGGTTTCTCTTTCACCCCTTTTTTGGGTTAAAATGAGACATAAGAGGTGGACTGAACCAGTCCCCTCTATATTCTTTCTCTAAAACCTATGGTCCTTGTTTGCGATACATATTCTCTATGGAATATTAACTAATTATAGCAAATGATATTGTACCTGTTTATATATAATTTTGGTAAGGTTATAGCTCTATTCGGATATTTAAATTGAATTATGTGGAATTATATGTATACTACTTCTACACAATGAGCCCGAGTCAGGGATCAGTTTTTATTATGCTTTGATTTAAAGTAATATGGCGGTTTATATATATACCGCATCCTTTCCTGCCCATGTATGTCATGCTGTATAGTTTACACATATTGATAACAGTAATTTACATATGATTAAATGAAAGACTTTGTCTGCTGTAGTTATTTTTATGATATATGGCAAGGACGGTATTCTTTGGTAGGGCGTGTTGGTGCGTGTTGGCTCCGCCCCTGCTGGGATGTGATTGGCACCTACAGCTGCCAATCACATGTGCCCTTGCCCGCTGGACTGTAGCTTCCGCACGATTGGCCAATCTGACGGCACAGTAAGGCGGGTTTACTATTTGCCGCCCACAGGGATAGAGTAACCTATCCCGCAAACATCATGTAATTGGAACCACCCATGTTTTGATGTTCTGTGGGCTGATTGGCCACGTGACATCGCGAGGGGTGCGGTCTCCTCCTTTTTAATCACACGCTGACTCCGGACTCGGTTTAGCTCTTGAAAAAGGCGCAACAAAGCGCCGAAACGCGTTGAGCATGGTCATGCTGATGTTTAGCTGACTTTTAATCCGATGGGGACTCTAATGGATCTTTACTGAGCTTACTATAGAAATGTACTTTACTATGAGAATTCTCATTGATTGAATGACTTGGCCTGGGGTCTTATTACCGCTAGGATAACAGATGAATATATTACCCATATGGCTCAATATACGGTTGTCTGTAGCCATATTGGGGGCACAGTACAAAGTGTCTAATTAGGAAACTACATCGACTTTTTTGTTTCCCAGACACTTTGAGACTGTTTAGGTTGGGCTTTCTCTGTGTATCTGCGGAGGCAGGGTATTGGTCTTTTTACAAATCGTGTGTCTAAACATTCATTAAGGACCCACATTGATAACACACCTGTGATTATAATAGTATACGTATCCTACCTTATAGGCATCCCTATGAATATCTCACTTGTTGCTACTCTCTTAACTGACAAGCTCTGGAGCTTTAAGTGGCTTAATTGAGTAATGGGAATGTTTCCCTTTTTAGACACTGTTTGTTACAACATAGTGTTGCTACTGCAGCTTTTGAGCTTTTGAGCTGGTCAGTTTACTATTAACTCATAATAATTCAGGAATTGATAGTTTGTCTCTTTCTGAAAAATACATTAACTATCCACTGTGAACGATATCTGATGCACCTAGTGTCTGGAATAAAAATCAATATATATATGGGTCTAGGCATCACTTATTCAGATATAGGTACATCTTTTATTTATGGTTATAAGAGATTGACCTATTAGCTCCTTTTCTTGGAGCATTGCCAGTCATTTCCATGAGGTCCCTTTCTTTTAAATCACGTACACTGTTGCACATCTTGTTTTCACGTTTTCATTCTGTGTAGTAATTTGAATAAAGGTTAAGTTTATTTTTATTTTACTTTTTTCTTTTTATTGGTTCATCTTTTTGAGCTAGTTACTGTATATGGGTAAGATCTGAGTTTCTTGGACACCCGGAGTAATCCTGGTGTCTCTTTTTCATATCGCTTTTGACTCTGTATTTATTTTTGTCTCATTCTCGTAACTGATATTAGATAAATTCTTCCCAGAATCGAAGATACAATTCCAAATGTATTCTTGGTTCACATTAACCCTTATATGAACAGCTAGGATATTAAGCAAAATGGATATTCGTATCTACACTGTTAGCCGGTTTTTATCCCCCATGACTCCTCTCCTGCAACTGTCAAAAATGACCTACTGAGCCCTCAGTGAATACTTTACTAGTAACCTATTTTATCACCCCTACTTACCCTTTGTGTCACTATACCCCACTCCCTCTAGAATGTAAGCTCATTGAGCAGGGCCCTCCCCCTCTCTGTTCCTGTACGTCCAATTGTCTGGTTACAGTTACATGTTAGTCTACCCATTGTACAGCACTACGGAATCTGATGGCGCTATATAAATACTATAATAATAATAATGATAGTAATGCATTGCAGTGTAAAACTGAAAAAGTAAATATCGTACTTTGAAATGCATTTATTTCTATAAAGCAAGATATATTTTACAATCTGTGACTATATATGTAATATTTTTCATACATTGATAATATCGAATATAGATATAAATTATCATTATTGGGGACTGTTTTTATGTTGGGAGAATGCATTGACGAGTTCACAAATAGAAATAGTGAGCAGAAATGCAATAACTCAATAATAAAAGGAAAATCCCTAACTGCTTAGCAGACAGTGAATGGTGGACACATTTACATCTATAGAATGTTCACGTGGCAAATACAATATTTGCTAATTTGTCATCGGCATATAACGATATCTGTTAACATTGCTGAAAATGTGCATTAACCAATTTACAAAACGTTTTATTTCCCCATTATAGACCCTATTATGTCCTTATGTGACAGTAACGGTATAATTTCATATAATTTCTATGTGGAATATTGTCGAGATTGCATAACTGGAATCATTTCTTTATTAGAGTTGGTTTATGCATCCATTGTACTGTGTCAAGCAATATAACAATAACAATGTTAATAATAATAATAATAATAAATAGAGGAACCACATAATGTGTCTGAAGTCCAATTTGGGGTAAGGTTTGGCGTAAATCACCCAAAGTGCAGAGTATTAGATTGAGAGTATTATTTGACTCTCTCTTGGTACATGCTGTAGTCTTTACTATATTTTCCCCTTTAAATACCACCATAGAGATTAGGGTGTTACATATTTTAGTTATGGCTTTTTATACTTAATTATTAAACCTGAACGAAGCTGTACTTCTCACTGAACCCCATTTCTTGCCCCTGTGGCATTACAATTTGTACCCTCAAATGCGTTGTGTTTTTTCTATAAATACAGCTGGAAAACCACAACTCCATGAAAGTATCTAATAATATTTTAGTGTGTAAATTTTCATCTGGCGCCCTTTTCGACTCTGGGAAGTCTGGATTTCTGGTTTAGGCCCTGGGGAGCTAAATGGACAAGGGCACATGTATGAGTGTGGGGGTGGTGCTAGTGATTGGCTATATGTGTTTAGGGGAGTGGCTGTATGTGTTTAGGGGAGTGGCTGTATGTTTTAGGGGAGTGGCTACATGTGTTTAGGGGAGTGGCTATATGTGTTTAGGGGAGTGGCTGTATGTGTTTAGGGGAGTGGTTGTATGTGTTTAGGGGTGTGGCTATATGTGTTTAGGGGAGTGGTTATGTGTTTGTAGGGGGGCAGGGATCATCTTACCTCAGTGCCTTTTGGGAATCTGGCCAGCAAACAACTTCCCTCCCACCCACCCTAATGTTCTGTTTTTGTTTCGTCACAGCTAGCGGGGAGCGTGTCCTTGCCAACAGGGTTGGGGAGCAGGTGGAATGTCAGGAGATGGACATGGTGGGTCTCAACCTCCCCTGCTCTGTAAGGTAAGTTACCGAATAGGACGTGCCCACCGAGCTAAGAGCCGGCTGGTGGTAGAGCATTTAAGATGATGGGAATTTTTGGTTTGGACGAGGGGGGAAGCGAGACACCAGTGGGTAAAGTTTTGGTGCATAGACACCTGGTTAAGTTCGTTGGCAAGGACGGTTATTTAAGTTGGAGGCTGTAGGGCAATAAGTGTAATTTATATGTTAATTTATATGTTAATTATGGTATGTAAATATATTTATCTGTTTGTTTATATTTGAATTAAAGAAAAAGAATAAAGTTCGGATGAGTCCTACAGTTGTAAGTTTAATAAATGCTGTGGCCTGTTTCATCCAATATTCGTTGTTTGTCATTATTGGGGGGAGAATTGGGGTAGTCTCCTTACTCTTAGTCGCACCACATTCCCAGCTACGTACATACAAGTAGTAGAGATACCCCAGCTACTACACAGCCTTTAGGAATACATTTTCAGGAACACAAGAGAAGAATTGGTGTCAAACTCTAGTACATTTACATGAACTTTTTCCCAGTATTAAACAAAGCTGTATACTTCTCAGTATCGCTTTACAGATTCACAGTTTAATTATCATATTTCACACAGATTGTGTGTAAATCAGAGGAAGTGTAGCAGAACCAATCATTTGGGTGTCTCCATTCAGGTATGCTACATGTTGTCCCTTTGATTATGACAGTCACAGGTACATATTAATGTCCACTGAATACAAAAGGATCTCCTGCAATTAGGCAATGTTACCACCAATCTCCGCTTCTGTATCTTCCCACCAGAATGCCAAGTGAGGGAAGTAGGAACGTATCCAATGGTGTCGAAGTCTTATGGAGGGGCAGGTTATCACTGAAATCTAAAAAGAGGCAAATATTGAGCACAATGCCAATAATTAACTGTCAGAAACCTTCAATGAATACAATAAGTCACTTCGCATAATACGACTTATATAATGCTCTGTATATGTAAGCACCGCCATAAAAAAAACACATCTCATGCACACACGGTATCCTCTCCTGGGCAACTCTCCCTGCACACACAATATCTTCTCCTGAGCCATTCTCCCTGCGCACACAATATCTTCTGAGCAATTCTCCCAGCACACACAATATCTTCTCCAGGGCAATTCTAATTGCATACACAATATCTTCTCCTGGACAATTCTCCCAGCACACACAATATATTCTCGTGGATGATTCTCCCAGCACACACAATATCTTCTCCTGGACAATTCTCCCAGCACACACAATATCGTCTCCTGGGCAATTCTCCCAGCACACACTATATCTTCTCTTGTGCAATTCTACCAGCACACACAATATCGTCTCCTGGACAATTCTAACTGCACACACTATATCTTCTCCTGAGCAATTCTCCCTGCATAACACAATAACTTCTCCTGGGCAATTCTACCAGCACACACAATATCTTCTCCTGGGCAATTCTAACTGCACACACTATATCTTCTCCTGAGCAATTCTCCCTGCACACACAATATCTTCTCCTGGGCAATTCTCCCAGCACATACAATATCTGCTCCTGGGCAATTCTAACTGCACACAGAATATCTTCTCCTGGGCAATTATAAATGCACACACAATATCTTCTCCTGGGCAATTCTCTCAACACACAATATCTTCTCCTGGGCAATTCTCTCAGCACACACTATATCTTCTCTTGTGCAATTCTCCCAGCACGCACAATATGGTATACCGAGCTATTCTCCCTGCACACACTATATCTTCTGCTGAGCAATTCTCCCTGGACACACAATATCTTCTCCTGGGCAATTCTACCAGCACACACAATATCTTCTCCTGGGCAATTCTCCCAGCACACACAATATCTTCTCCTGGGAAATTCTCACTGTACACACAATATCTTCTCCTGGGCAATTCTCCCTGCACACACTATATCTTCTTCTGAGCAATTCTCCCTGGACACACAATATCTTCTCAGGAGCAATTCTCCCTGCACACACAATATCTTCTCCTGGGAAATTCTACCAGCACACACAATATCTTCTCCTGGGCAATTCTCACTGTACACACAATATCATCTCTTGAGCAATTCACACTGCACACACTATATCTTTTCCTGAGCAATTCTCTCAGCACACACTATATCTTCTCTTGTGCAATTCTCCCAGTACGCACAATATCGTATCCTGAGCAATTCTCCCCGCACACACAATATCTTCTCCTGGGCAATTCTAACTGCACACACAATATCTTCTCCTGGGCAATTCTCCCTGCACACACAATATCTTCTCCTGGACAATTCTCCCAGCACATACAATATCTTCTCCTGGGCAATTCTCACTGCACACACAATATCTTCTCCTGGGCAATTTTCCCAGCACACACAATATTGTTTCCCGAGCAATTCTCCTAGCACACACAATATCTTCTCCTGGGCAATTCTCCCAGAACACACAATATCTTCTCCTGTGCAATTCTCCCAGCACACACAATATTGTATCCCGAGCAATTCTCCTAGCACACACAATATCTTCTCCTGGGCAATTCTCCCTGCACACACAATATTTTCCCATGTCCTATTCTCCCTGCACACAGTATCGTCCCCTTTCCTATTCTTCCTGCACACAGTATCGTCCCCTTTCCTATTCTTCCTGCACACAGTATCTTCCCCTGCCCTATTCTCGCTGCACACAGTATCTTCCCCTGCCCTATTCTCCCTGCACACAGTATCTTCCCCTGCCTTATTCTCCTTGCACACAGTATCTTCCCTTGCCTTATTCTCCCTGCACACAATATATTATCCTGCCCTATTCTCCCTGCACACAGTATCTTCCCCTGCCCTATTCTTCCCGCACACAGTATCTTCCCCTGCCCTATTCTCCCTGCACACAATACATTATCCTGCCCTATTCTTCCTGCACACAGTATTGTCCCCTTTCCTATTCTTCCTGCACACAGTATCTTCCCCTGCCCTATTCTCCCTGCACACAGTATCTTCCCCTGCCTTATTCTCCCTGCACACAGTATCTTCCCTTGCCCTATTCACCCTACACACAATACATTATCCTGCCCTATTCTTCCTGCACACAGTATCTTCCCCTGCCTTATTCTCCCTGCACACAGTATCTTCCCTTGCCCTATTCACCCTGCACACAATACATTATCCTGCCCTATTCTTCCTGCACACAGTATCTTCCCCTGCCCTATTCTTCCTGCACACAGTATTTTCCCCTGTCCTTTTCTCCCTGCACACAGTATCTTCCCCTGCCCTTTTATCCCTGCACACAATACATTATCTTGCCCTTTTATCCCTGCACACAACACCCTCTCTTTTCCTAATCCTCCTGTACACACATCACAATCTACTGTACAATTCATTTCTGTATAGACAGCATTGTGAACTGTCCCATCTTCTGTGTGCACATACAATCATTCCTCAGTCATTCATTTCTATAATAAGAATTATATTCTACATGCACACATTGTATCCTTAATGTGATACTTACTGTGCAGATCAGACAGAGCAGGAACAGTAAAGTCATAATGGCCGCCAGGGAGATCAGAATGATCGCCCAGAAGGGAAAGTCATCCGAACCTGAGAGGACAGTAACAGGACAAAGGAAACCATTAACAAATATCCACACATTACATTTCCAACATAAAGTGTTTTAGGTAAAACCAAACTACATATATCATCATTAAAAAGAACATCACTTGTCTTCTTTATTTTTTAGTGTGTGTGTGTGTGCTGGGTGCGTGTTGGGTCTGTCTGTGTATGTGTGCATGTGTGTAAGTTGTGTTAGTGTGTGTGTGTGTGTGTGTGTGTTTGAACGTGTGTTTTGGGTCTGTCTGTGTGTATTGGGTGTGTGTGTGAGCGTGTGAGGTTGTGTGTGTGAGTGTGGGTTTTTAGGTGTGAGTGTTGTGTGTGTGTGTTGGGTGTGTGTTGGGTTTGTCTGTGTGTGTAAGTGTGTGTGTTGGGTGTGTGTGTGTTGGGTGTGTGTGAGGTCGTGTGTGTGTGAGTGTGTGAACGTGTATGTTTGGACTATGTGTGTGTGTGTTGGGTGTGTGTGAGCGTGTGAGGTTGTTTGAGTGTGTTAGTGTGTGTGTGAACGTGTGTGTTGGGTCTGTGTGAGGTTGTATGTGTGTGTGTGTGTGTGCTTCTGTTAGAAAAATAGCATCCAGACAGGAAGAGGCCAGTTGCATCCTGGGAAACATTTTCTAATCACAACTGGAAAAAAAATACCACTGAGAATTGCTGACTGTTTTTTTCACATATAAATACAAACAGCCTTTGATGTTAAGTCAGTGAATTGTAGAGACTGTAATGCCAAAATTGCTGGATTAGGCTGAGTTAGACATGTTGTGACTGTATTCCAGTTTTCCTTTTCAGATGTTTGACTATATCTCTATATATATTTTTGCTTTTTACTGTATTTTACTTTTTTTTTTTATCTATATTTTGCATTTCTCTTTTTAGCTCACTCCAATTTGTTGCCTGGTGAATACAGCCATTTGTGTTAATGCTTTAGTCCATAGATAAAGGAAACCATTTCATTTCTGTTCCATATATTATATATTAGTGACTGAGCTAGTGAGTTCTTACGAGGTTAACTCTGGCCTATTTTTACAAGACCCCCTCAGATAAAAGAGTTAAAATAACTGCTATATGAATAGCCTGGTGTTCAGCAATTAACCCATTACACTGACAACGCAAGCAGCATGGTGTATTCAGTCCCAGGGAATGGAGCATCTCTCAGAAAGCTAGAGAGTTAATTCACTTAATTCATTTCCTCGGGGCGGAGAGGTTTTGACAAGTAGGTTACTGCAACAATAACCACCCAGTCCATCTGTCAGAAAGGATTCTACTCTAAATCTCTCACATTCCATCTAAACTAATCTGGATACACTGACTAAACACCCAGCCATCCAAGCCAGCATTCAGTGTTTTGGAGCTCACTGGGCCTTTTCTTAAGATTTTAATTAATATAAATGGTTTAACACTTTAAATCATCATATGTTAATGAGTTACTCCAAGCACCATGTCCACTACGCTGATTTGAAGTGGTCATAGTGTCTGGAGTCTGTATGTGCTGTGAACTACTGCACATATCGATATTATGACCAGGAGCTTCAGACAGATTATTAATGTAGGTTCCTTGACTATTCTTATGTATTGGTCACCCTGAGCCCATTATAAGTGAAGGGTGTGTGTAAAATATTAAGTGTTTTGTGTGATATTTTGTGTTAGTTATTGTCTTTCCCACCCCTTTCTAAATATGTTATGTTATTATAGGAATAGGCACAGGGGACGATACTACCTGACTAGAAGGACGGTAGCGGAATAGACAGAGGGTGCAATACCTGCTTGGAAGGAGGGCTGCAGAGAAATAGGCAGAGGGGACTATACCTGCCTGGAAGGAAAACTGCAGCTGAATAAACAGAGGGAACGATACCTGCCTGGAAGAAGGGCTACAGCAGAAAAAGCAGTGGGGCCAATACTTGCTTGGAAGAAGAGCTGCAGAGGAATAGGCAGAGGGGGCGATACCTGGCTGGAAGGAAACTGCGGAGGAATAGGCAGAGGGGACGATACCTGCCTGGAAGAAGGGCTGCAGAGTAATAGGCAGAGGGGACGATACCTGCCAGGAGCTGCAGAGGACGATACCTGCCTGGAAGGAAAGCTGCAGAGGAATAGGCAGAGGGGACGATACCTGCCTGGAAGGAAAGCTGCAGAGGAATAGGCAGAGGGGACGATACCTGCCTGGAAGGAAAGCTGCAGAGGAATAGGCAGAGGGGACGATACCTGCCTGGAAGGAAAGCTGCAGAGGAATAGGCAGAGGGGACAATACCTGCCTGGAGGGAAAGCTGCAGAGGAATAGGCAGAGTGGACGATACCTGCCTGGAAGGAAAGCTGAAGCTGAATAAACAGAGGGAACAATACCTGCCTGGAAGAAGGGCTACAGCAGAAAAGGCAGTGGGGCCAATACTTGCTTGGAAGAAGAGCTGCAGAGGAATAGGCAGAGGGGACGATACCTGCCTGGAAGGAGGCCTGCAGAGGAATAGGCAGAGGGGACGATACCTGCCTGGAAGAAGGGCTGCAGCGGAATAGGCAGAGTGGACGATACCTGCCTGGAAGGAGGGCTGCAGAGGAATAGGCAGAGGGGATAATACCTGCCTGGAAGGAGAGCTGCAGAGGAATAGGCAGAGGGGATGATACCTGCCTTGGAAGGCATAATGTGGAAAAATTGTATTTCTCTGCTTGTTATAATTACATTATCCATTGTGTAAGGTAATTGTATCACAGGCACAGCTCTGACTGTTCACTGCTTGACCCTCAACACGGAGCTGTGTCTCGTTCTTGGGGGGGATTTATTGTATGCTGTTCCAGTTTGACTGGATTCGTATGGTTTTTCCTATTCGGCTGTTTACGGCATTCATATGGTTTCCTGTTCGGCGGATTGGTGTTCTACAGTAGCTGTGCCTGTGTCTCTGGAAGGGGAAGATCTACTAAACGGCGGTTTAACCCTTTTATGCTGAGGGTGCGTTACAGGTTGCAAGGATTAAATCAGAAGAATCTGAGGTTCAATTCGATACTGTATAATTGGGGATGTTTTTAATAACAATATTATGTGTAAATATTTCGGTGGAATACAATAAAACAAATGTAATTAGAAATATGATGTGACTCTGTAAGGATTAATTGGAGTATTAGATCATTCATTATTACTGTTGTAAATATTGGAAAAAGCATATTACTTACCAGCTGCTAATGTAGGCTTGCACACAATACCTGGAATAAGTAACATATTGTCAGATTAGCATACACAGGACAGGGACACCTAGTGGTTATAGTACGTATTACAGAAACAATGCAGAAATAGATATTGGCTGGGTTTATGTTTGGTATATTCTTCACTATTAGTTTACTTAACACACGAGGCTTATCTCAATGTTAAAAGGCATGAATAACAGTCCCATTTGACACAAAATTACATTAGCTCTGGCTTAGTAAATTCATTTCAAGTCAAATATATCAAATATTAGAATAAATCCAAATTGGCACTGGATAATTCCAAACTCAGGCACATTTGGAGAATTCCATTTGACATTTGTGGAATGTGAACTCTAGGCCTTAAAGGATCACGATAGGATCAGGAACAAAAACATGTATTCCTGACCCTATAGTGTTAAAACCACCATCTAGCCCCCCTGGGCCCCTCATGCCTCTATAAATATAGCAAAATCTTACTGTATTCAAGCCTGAAGCTGCATGCTGTTTGCCTCAGAAAAACAAGCAGTCTGCTGACATCATCAGAAGGGGTGGTCTGATCCAATCCCAATGCTTCCCCATAGGATTGGCTGAGACTGACAAAGAGGCAGATCAGGGGCAGAGCCAGCACGATTCCAACACAGCCCTGGCCAATCAGCATCTCCTCATAGACATGGATTGAATCAATTTATCTCTATGAGGAAAGTTCAGTGTCTGCATGCAGAGGGAGGAGACACTGAATGTTTGGATGCATTTTAGGCAGCCATGACCCAGGAAGGATCTCTAACAGCCATCTGAGGAGTAGCCAGTGAAGTTATCACTAGGCTGTAATGTAAACACTGCATTTTCTCTGAAAAGACAGTGTTTACAGCAAAAAGCCTGAAGGTAATGATTCTACTCACCAGAACAAATACAATAAGCTGTAGTTGTTCTGGTGACTATAGTGTCCCTTTAATTTCTAAAATGAATTAAATTTGAGTACACCTGTCCCAATATTGCTTTTCTCTGTACCTGACCACACGAGCATCAGCAGAAAGAAAACGGGATGAGGCTGTGACCATGAACTCAAAAGAGTCATCATCTGCTTCTTTATTAGCCCCAGTAAGAGGTTCAAAATTGAATCATCATTTCTAGCAAACCGATAGTTCCACTTAAGGATTGTTATCAGCCGTTAGCATGGCTGTGTTAAAACAAATCTATCTTCAATGGGACAGAAACACTTGAGTGGTTGGGCTAATGACAATAAGAAAACTAGAGCAGAGCTGAAGTCAAGAAAACCACAGGACAGTATAATCATAAACAACACAAGGTCAATGCAGGCAGCAAGTAGCAGAAAAGTAAGGAGAGCTGAGGTCAGGAAATCGGAGGTTCCAACTGTGTGAACAAGTATGGACTCGGACTGCGAAGCTATTCTGTCCTTATAATAGATGTGTACATAAGCACAATAAACCCACAGCTTATGTACACATCTATTATAAGGACAGAATAGATGGTTGGTATTCTTTAAGGATGATAGTGATGGAAACATGATAGTTCGAGATGGGGGAAGAGACTGGGGTGGAGATGTAAATGATAGTCTACAATGAGACAGATAATGGAGAGAGGAACATGAAAGAAAGTGGTCAAATGGGAAAGGAAGTTACGGGAGCAGGAAGGCATTTTAAATGTTTCTAATGAAGGTGCCGAAGAACACTGTGGGTAAAGGGGATGTAAATACAGCTTAAAGTATAGCTGATTAGAGAGAAACTGGCAAAATTGATGGTGGGGGACTAATTGCAAATTACAGTAGATAAGCAGGTTTTTTATCTGCCGAGGGTTCCTCTGCTCATCCAAATGCTGGTTTCATCTATGTGTAAGGGGGGTTTTTCTTTTTTATTGCACATGATTTATTTTACCCCATAGATGAATAAAGCAGTTAGTATGCTACGTTAGATAAAGCCCAGAATAGTGTGTTTTGTCAGTGAATTGGTCAAATCAATCAGTTTATAAATCCAAATACTTGGATAGCATTTTCAATCTCTGTCACTGTGAAATGTTATCACCTTAAAAACATTGCCAACATCCGCCCCTTTCTCGTGCAAGATACTGCCAATGGAGCTTGTTCATGCTCTGGTAATCTCTTGCATGGATTACTGTCATTCTCTCAGGGCCGGTCTCCCCAGAAGCCGAACTGTCCCACGACAATTGGTAATGAATGCTGCCGCCAGGCTGATCTTCCTCACCCGTTTCTCCTCCCATATCTCGACCATATCTCGCCCCTCCCACTGGCTTTCTATGGGTGTCAATTCAAAATACTATCCCTTACCTATAAAGCTCTAACCAACTCTAGCCCCTGTTACATTTCTTCACAGATCCATAGGTATGCCGCTTCTCGGTCTCTCCACTCTTCTGGTGACCTTCTCCTGTCCCCTGATCGCACCCATACAGCCAACTCATGCTTGCAGGACGTCTCGCAGGCAGCTTCCTTCCTTTGGTACAGCCTGCCTACCGCCATCGGGTTCTCCCCTAGTCTTTTCCTCATTGTTTAAGAAAATGTAACAAAATAAATACTTATGGACCCACAAAGTAACTTCTATGGCTCATTTTATTTTGTTCTCCTTGATGCCCCTACTATTGTATCCTTATACTCCACTCCTCTAGACTGTAAACTAATCTGAGCAGGGTCCTAATCTATCTATTGTTACTGTAACCTTTTGTAATTGTCCCTTTTATTGTTAAATTCCCCCCCTTCCATAGTATTGTAAAGCGCTACAGAATAGGTTGGTGGTATGTAAATACTACTACTACTACTACTACTACTACTACTACTACTAATAATAATAATAAATGTTATTAATTACACTGTGATGCTTAAGGGTAAAAAGTATGTTTGTCTGTCTGTCTATCTATCTATCTATCTATCTGTCTATATGTCTGTTTGTCTGTCTGTCTATCTATCTGTCTGTCTGTCTCTCTGTCTGTCTATCTATCTATCTATCTATCTATCTATCTACCTATCTATCTATCTATCTATCTATCTATCTATCTATCTATCTATCTATCTATCTGCCTGTCTGTCTGTCTATCTATCTGTCTGTCTGTCTGTCTATCTATCTATCTATCTATCTATCTGTCTATATGTCTGTTTGTCTGTCTGTCTGTCTCTCTGTCTGTCTATCTATCTATCTATCTATCTCTCTCTCTCTATCTATCTGTCTGTCTATCCATCTATCTGTCTGTCTGTCTGTCTGTCTATCTGTCTGTCTATCTGTCTATCTATCTATCTATCTATCTATCTATCTATCTATCTATCTATCTCTCTCTCTCTCTCTCTCTCTCTCTCTCTCTATCTATCTGTCTGTCTATCCATCTATCTGTCTGTCTGTCTGTCTGTCTATCTATCTATCTGTCTGTCTATCCATCTATCTGTCTATCTATCTATCTATCTATCTATCTATCTATCTATCTATCTATCTATCTATCTATCTGTCTATCCATCTATCTGTCTGTCTATCTATCTATCTGTGTGTCTGTCTGTGTGTCTGTCTGTCTGTCTATCCATATATCTAATAGACAGGGATACTGATATAAAGGTAGGTAGACATACAGATTGATGGGGAAACAGCTTTGGGTTTGTGTAAATGTTCCTTCTCTTACCTAATATTAGAAAGATTAAAATCCATCCCAGGTCCTTCATGGTCCTATGTAGGTGATAAGAGATGCCTCGAGTCCTGTGAGGGAAATATACTGATTTGCTTTTGTTGTGTATACTGGTTGACCTGGTCCCTCCCCATGAGTACACATCTCACCTAATCTGACAATCCACATAGTCTCTGCTTGATGTGTCAGGCAGGTGAGACTTCATACTATGCCAATGATGTCACCTGGGAATAAGGCCAGAGTATTTATTGCAGTTATATGTTAATAGGAAGAATAGAAATGTCCTGTAAATAGCAAATGACAGGCAGACAGACACGGTTACACTTAGAGTACATAAATATAAAATTGGGGGCGTAGGGTTAAGGGTTGCTAAGGGTACGGAAATGGATGGGGGCACAGGATTTAAAAAATGTTAATGTTGACTGAAACTCTCATCATTCCCAGTTGGGCATGTAATTGGATTTAAAGACAGCAGCCTACAATTTATCTGGAGGTTTGAAACATTGCCGTGTTCTAGAGAAACAGGCGCTATGTTTTTATAAGAATGAATCTATAGTGATGGCTGTGGTCGCTTTCAATCCCTACATCCTGCCTACTCTATATCGTCCTCTCTTTCTCGAACTCTTTCCATGTTGTATCTCTGCTTTGCCTCTGTCCCCAGAAGATTTCAGAACTGCCACCCTGTATTATAGTTTTAGTGTTCTTAGCAAAACATATCTATTGTTCTTCCCTCCTGATTCAGTGCCACAACATGTTTCCATCTGCCCAGGGGATGTGAGCTGCAGAGTGCCTACGCCTTATATTATACACCTTATTATTAACATTATTACAGTTTATCATTAGCATTGTCTCTGTACTAATAAATACACATAAATCCTGCAGATGTACAGAACACTAGGCAGCCAAACTAATGGATCAATTTTAGTATTTTGAATGGTTTGAAAAGCACAGTGAATAAAATGCAACAGTTCAATCTACTGTGATCATGGCATCAACTCGGCTTCATTTCAATAAAAATGTCCTTTTTCAGTGTTTGCCTCTTACTACTTGTTTTGATTTACTTACTCATTCTTAGGGTCTCCTAAGGTCTACTAATAATATAGGTGTGGACCCCTTTCTCACTGGATCTAGAGGGGTATCTCAGTGACAAACTCCAAGAATGCTGATTCAATTGTCTAGGGTTACTGTATCTCTCTCATACACCTCAGGCACGATCTTCTGATATTTCTGTTATTTCATCAGTCACCGTGGGTGGAATCAGTCAGACATGTGGGTGCTATAGATTATATCTCTAATGGCACAAGTTTGATACCTGAGCAGGGACAAACCAAAGAGAATATTGATAACGCTTTTGCCTGATCTCATTGTTTTCTATGTTTGTATCAAAGGTAAAAAAAAGTTATTATACTCTTTACCAAATCCATAACCCAGCTGAATAATAACAATACTTTAACACTATAATAAGAACTAGATTGGGCTGAACTTCAATTCGTCCAAATTTGGGCATATAGGGTGACAGACAAATTCCCTGAACTCCGATCCCAAATGTACCTGAATCATGAATCAAATCAACCACACAATGCTGAACATGTTGGGTTTGAGATCATGATTCAGACTTCCACCCATGGTGCCAAATATATCATATAGAAGAAAACATATATATGTTTAGCAAAAAATATCAAAGTATTATGTTATTAAAATATGTTTTAAAATATTAAATTAATTGAAAATATTAAATTGAAACCATATTCAAGGAGGGATCCCAGAGGAACTGAATCGATTAATTAACTGCTGTGCTCCTACAGTCTGGCTCTTTCCTCTTCAAAATAAAACTAGTTCTACAATCTAAATTTCTACAATCAGGGAAGAGATCTCTCATCTTTCTCCATCCACTATGAACTTTTTCCCCTAACCACACTCCCTCAGCTGTCCTACGCTCATTTGCTCTGCTCCGTTCCTCCCGCCCCTTTCCCTGTTCCCTCAATTCTATTCCCTCGTATCTCATCTGCACTTTGTCTCCTTCTCTTTTTCTGCCTCTCACTAAAATGTTCAATCTCTCCCTCTCCTCTGGCACATTTCCTCTACCCTTCAAACATGCAACCATAACCCGATTCTGAAAAAACCCAACCTTAATCCTAATTCCCCATCCAACTACCGCCCTATCTTGTTACTGCAGTTTGTCTCCAAGATGCTTGAGCGAGTTGTGTATGCGAGATTGAAATCTTACTCAAATCCAACTCTCTGCTTGACCCGCTTCAATCTGGATTCCGCACTCGTCACTCTGTTGAAACAGCTGTGACCAAAGTATACAATGATCCCATCACTGCTAAATCCCATGGTCATGACTATATCCTAATTCTCCTCGACCTTTCTGCTGCTTTTTACACTGTTGATCATCAACAGCTTTTTCTCATCCTCTGTAATCTCCATCACTCAGTTCAGTGTTTCTTTCTTTGGCTCTGCCTCTTCTCCCCAATCGCTCTCTGTTGGTGTTCCCCAAGGGTCTGTCATTGGTCCCTTATTGTTCTCAATCTACACTGCCTCCCTTGGTAAACTCATCAGCTTCTTCGGCTTCCAGTATAATTTCTATGCGGATGGCATGCAAATGTATCTGTCCTCTCCTGGTTTCTCCCCACCCCTCTTACTCGTGTCTCTCACTGACTCTCTGCTATTTCCAACTGGATGGCTGCTCATTTTATTAAACTGAACCTGTCCAAAACAGAACTTCTGGTTTTCTCTCCCTCAAGTGTTGCTACTCCTTTGTCTGTGTCCCTCCAAGATACTGGCGCTACCATTCGCTCAACCTCTAAGGCTCTCTGCCTAGGTGTTCTCTTTGACTCCGATCTATCCTTCATCCCTCATGTCCAATCAATCGCCAAATCCTGCCGCTTCTATCTCAAAAACTTTTCGTGCATCCAACCCTATTTAACACCTGATACTGCAAGATGCTTGTCCATGCTGCTGTCCTCTCTCGACGTGACTACTGTAATCCACTTCCCAGTGGTCTTATGTGTTCCTAACTTGCCCCATTACAGTCTATAATGAATGCAGCAGCGAGGTTCATCTTCCTGTCTGCCCGTACCTCCCACACCTCTCTTCTTTGTAAGTCCCTCTATTGGCTTCCCGTAAGAAAAAGGACTCAATTTAAGATCCTGATACTTGCTTACAAATCTCTACACAATGCTGCCATCTACTTATCCTCACTAATACCCAAATATGTCCTCTCTAGGCCCCAACATTCTGCTGGAGACCTACGTCTAACCACTGTTCGTACTCCTACCTCTGATGCTCACCTTAAAGACTTATCTAGGGCTGGACCATTCATAAACCTTTGAAAACTTACTTCTTTAGGAAAGCATATCAATTAAACTGTGAACATCTTTCCCTCCCCACACCGTGATTCCTCTCCTTAAACTGTCATCAAAACAACAACACTAAGCCCTCAATGACCACTATCCTAGCAACAGACTTCTCTACCTTAACTTTTGTGTCACTATAACCCCCTCCCTGTAACATGTAAGCTTATTGAGCAGGGCCATCAATCCCTCTGTTCCTGTCCCTCAAGCTTGTCTAGTCACAAATAGGTGTATGTTAGTCCACCCATTGTACAGTGCTACAGAACCTGTTGGCGCTTTATAAATAACAATAATAATAATAATAATAACGCATTTCCTACTGTGGTTTATGGAGGACCTGTTGGCTTTATTGTAAGGGTATTACTGTCAATGCCATAAGGTGTGTAATGTTATATGAAGGCATATTGCTTGACACTCAAACAGAGGTGCAGAATCCTGAGTGTTACACATTGTGTTAACACCACACGTGAATTTACATAATTCATATCTCTACGGTCTTTTTTTTTTTTTTACACACTACTCTTAGGGTTGCCAGGTATTTATCATGTATTTCTTAGGGTTGCCAGGTATTTCTCAGAAGTGTTTCTCAGGTATTTGAGGCTGCCTAGCCAGTGCCGGTATTGCAGTAATACCGGCAATACAAATGCCTCTCAGTATAAACAGATTATTCTGCAATACCAGCACCGGCCAGTAGGGGTCGCTGTTTGTGTGGAGAGAGGCAGGGATAAGAAGTTACAGCATCTCCCTCCATGCCTCTCTCTACTCACTGACATGCGGGGAAGCAGTTCTGCGCAGAGTCCAGACAGCAGCTCCGAACGTGCGAGACATGGGGACGGAGAGACATTGGGACACTGGGGAACATGGGGACCATGAGTCACTAGGTACACAGTGACCCCATGTCTCTCAGTGTCTCCATGTCTCCTAGTGTCTGTGTCCCTTATCTCCCAGAGTCCCCATGTATCTCAGTGTTCCCATGTCTCTCCCAGTCTCTGAGTGTCCCCATGTCTCACAGTGTCCCCTGGTGTCCTAGTGACGTCGGGACACTGGGAGACATGGGTATACAAACACTAGGGGACACTGGGTGACATGGGGACACTGAGAGACATGGAGACACTGGTAGATACAGGGTGACATGGGGACACTGAGCTACTTTGAGACTTAGGAGATATGGGGCACTCCCAGTGTCCCCATGTCTCCCAGCCAGTGTCCCTAGTATCTTAGTATCCCCATGTCTCCCAGTGTCCCCTACTGTCTGTAGTGTGCCAGTCTCCCTAGTGCCTCAGTGTTTCCTAGCCTCCCAAAGTCCCCTAGTCTCCCAGTGTCCCAATGTCTCCCAGTGTCTCAGTGTCCCCTAGTATAAAATAAAAATCTCAGTCACTCAAGTCTCCAGAGTCCCCTATGTCTCAGAGTCCCCTAGTATAAAAGAAAAAAATCTCAGGCACTCACTGTGATAGATTTAAGCAGGTTTATTGGACACCGCGATGTTTTGACCTGTACCCAGGTCTTTATCAAGCCTCCATTGTCCCCTATGTATCACAGTGTCTCAGTGCCCTATGTCTCCCAGTGTCCCCTCATGTCTCAAAGTCACCCAGTGTCCCCAAGAATCTCACTGTCCCCAGGTCTCCCAGGTTACATAGTTACATAGCTGAAAAGAGACTTGTGTCCATCAAGTTCAGCCTTCCTCACATATGTTTTTGCTGTTGATCCAAAAGAAGGCAAAAAACCCAGTTTGAAGCACTTCCAATTTTGCAACAAACTAGGAAAAAAATCCTTCTTGACCCCAAAATAGCAGTCAGATGTCTCCTTGGATCAAGCAGCTATTACGCCACTAATTAGAAATTATATCCCTGTATGTTAAGTTTTTGCAAGTATTTATCCAATTGCAGTTTAAACATCTCTTTAGACTCTGACAAAACCACCTCTTCAGGCAAAGAATTCCATATCCTTATTACTTACTGTAAATAAAAAACTTTTCTTTTCCTTAGATGAAATCTCCTCCTTTCTTCCAGCCTAAATGTGTGAGCTTGTGTCCTATGTATAGCCCTGTTTTATTAATAGATTTCCAGATAATGGTTTGTACTGGCCCAGAATATATTTGTATAATGTTATCATATCCCCTCTCAGGCGCCGTCTTTGCAAACTAAAGAGATTTAAATTTTTTAACCTTTCTTCATAACTAAAATGCTCCATTCCTTTTATAAATTTTGTAGCTCATCTCTGCACTTTTTCTAGTGCCATGATATCTTTCTTTAAAACAGGTGCCCAAAATTGCACAGCATATTCAAGGTGTGGTTTTACCAGCGATTTATAAAGAGGCAAAATAATATTTTCATCCCAAGAATTTATGCCCCTATTTATACATGACAAAACCTTACTGGCCTTAGCAACGGCAGATTGACATTGAATATTGCTGCCTAATTTGTTGTCTATAACAATTCCCAAATTCTTCTCGTGTTTGGTTATCCCTAGTTCACTACCATTTAGGGTGTAAATTGCTCGTGCATTCTTAACCCTGAAGTGTATAACTTTGCATTTCTCTATGTTAAATTCCATCTGCCATTTTAGTGCCCAGTCCCCCAAGCTATCCAAATCCCTCTGCAGCAAGGCAATATCCTGCACACATTTTATTACTTTACAAAGTTTTGTGTCATCTGCAAACACTGATACATGGCTTTCAATGCCTATTTCAAGATCATTTATAAATATGTTAAATAGAAGCAGTCCCGAAACAGAACCCTGAGGGACACCACTTACCACTTTTGTCCATCTTGAAATTTACCTTTAATGACAACTCGTTGTACTCTATCCTTAAGCCAATGTTCTACCCAAGAACAAGAATATTCATCTAGACCAATTTCTTTGAGTTTGAAGACTAACCTATTCTGAGGAACCTTATCAAGTGCCTTGGCAAAATCCAAGTAGGTCTCCCAGTGTTCCCTAGTATCGCAATGTCCCCATGTCTTCCAGTGCCCCAATGTCTCTCAATGTCCCCTAGTGTTATGGGAACACTGGGAGAAATGGGGACACTGACACAAAGGGACTGGGAGACATGGGGACACAGACATGCCCCCTTTTTGTGTATGTTCGCCTCTTTCGGCAATTCTGGCTGTGATTTGTGTCAATGGCCCACCCTTTTACGCGATCCATAGACTTCCTGCTTTACTGGATACTGCTGTTAGGGGGTATGGGTTTACTTGAAAGATGAAAGCATAAGATTAGTATAGGGTATGTGTTTTCTCATAGCTGCATCCTATGAGTATCCCTCTAGCACCATCTCCATCAGATACATGACGCTTAGGAGGTAGCACTGTTTTAGTGTTTTTGGTCAATAAGATTTTGTAATTAGGCCCATCATAATTGTCAGCACCAGGCCCACTGGGCTCTTAATCTGGCCCTGGAAATAGGAGAAACAAAATGAATTACTATTGTTCTAAAGTGCTTTGTTTAATACAGGTTTCGGAAGAGTTGTCTTGCTGTGTTAAGGTTGCAAGTGGCCTCTGATAAGGAAGGGGCAGCAAACTGTAGACATATGTTATTAAGTTGCCCTCACTTGTCAGGTCCTGGAAACCCACTTATTTTATTGCAGATGCCTCTATGATACCACGTTACAGATTAACTAAGCATGCTTATTATTATCCTATTTTATTCTAGTTATTTCACATTGCGCAGCCTATGCAAACAATGTCTAGGTCCCAACTTCAGCTTGTACATCCTCCAAGAGCCAGCATTAATACTGTTTTATCTATATATAAAGTATTAAAAACATGAACCATCTATGTATTAGGCTGGGGTTGTTGGGTGTGGTTATCGGTTGGAAGCTGTGGTTGGTATTGAGGAACCTGCCAGGGTGGGTCCTTGAACGCCAGCTGGGTCAGGTTTTCGCTTAGCACCGGGTTCTCCTTTGTTATCTTGAGCACCAGGTTCACCATTGTTACCCTTAGGTCCAGGGAAACCTCCGGGGCCTTGAGGTCCAGGAGCACCACAGGCACCAGGGAAGCCAGGGGCACCAGAAATACCAGGAGTACCAGTGGGGCCAGCTTGACCAGGAGAACCGGGTTCACCACGAGCACCTTGGGGTGAACCCCTTCTATCCACAATTAAAACAGTGTGTTCCACCAATGCTGAAGTTGCCACCTCTACAAAAGTTAGACCCTTTGATCAAATCCTCTACCTTTGCTTCTAAAACTTTTCTGATTCAATCTCCTATCACCTCCCAAATTTCTTTGTCTCGCCTGCTTAGGGTCAGAATGCTGTAAACCCTTTGATTGAAACAACATACTCGTTTCCTTCTTTCTTTATATCAAAACAACCTGCTGTATCTTTCTCATGAATCTTCCCAAGAAATTCAGTTGTGGTCAAAGAGGGCCAGTCACAGACCAACAGTTTGACCAAAAGTGAACAAGGAGGAAGCATATTCCATATGCAGGTCGAGATGACCTAACTCACACCCCCTCTTTGTGTACACCTCTTTGTGTACCACACAGATATAATATTAATAAGCTTTTGAAGATTTATTGTGCATGTATAGCACGGTTGTCTAGGGGTGTATACATAAACAGTGAAAGCAGAGTCTTCATATAGGGTTTGCAATACTGACAGTCTGGGTCATAGGTGTAATGCAGACGTGTGGTTAGGTACTTTTCCATTGTCAGAACACTAATATATTGCAAATATTAAAATCATATTGCAGCTGTTTCCTATACCTGCAAGCATATGGTTGTAATACTTCAATTGAGTTCAAATTGAGTATCAAAAGTCTAACCACAAAAACTAAATTTTATATGCTTATCAAAAATGAGTTTACCCCCTTAGCGATTTAATAGGGTGACCTCTTCCCATATTATGGTTCCTTTTATAATTATTATATTATTTATTCTCTTCTGGGTCTGCAAAATGCTTTCAATATACCAATACAAATATAATACAGTAGTTTAGAATTGCCTCAAAAGAAATTATTTATCAATATTTATCTGATCTCTATTAAAATACCATTTCATCATTTTGCTATAATCAATGAGGCATACTAGATGAATCTTAATCTTGGAAAAAAACCTATCCTATACATCCATAATTTTTTTTTTTTTATAACCATATAACATAACAATTGTTTATGTTAAAGATAACAAATTTTTCTTTTTCTTAAATAATACAATGCACTTTAAAAGTAGAGTTAATTCTTAATACTCCCCTAATAATACGGAGAGAGAGAGAGAGCCATTTAAAATTGGAAACGTGGAACCACGATTTTGAAAAGCAGATGATTTTTTTTTCATTTCTTTCCCAGGGGCCCCTTTCTTGTCGACTGATCAGCGTTTTTTAATCTATTGTAAAAAGACACTAAAGGCTTGCGTTAATGACATGCAAATAATCTTTAAATATTCTTCATACTCATTGTAATATCACACGTCATCTTATAACAAAGAACACAACGAAATTAGCAGATATCCAGCAGACATGCCAATACAAAAAGCATATTCATGGACAGGCAATTAACTCAATCCAAAATAAATTAATAAATGTCACACTATGTGACGGACATAATTTGGTTCTCATATTTGTGCATTATGCATGTCTGCAAACAATGCAAGCAGTACTGCTTTAAGATTAGATCAGAGCACCTGGCAACTGGACAGGAAAGTCAAATTTTGGCAAAAAGTCCATTATTGCAACAGAATTTTGGAAATCAGCTAAAACTTACAAAAACAATGTAAGTTTTTTTTTTCTTTAAGGATTACAACTCATATTGCTCTTGGACTAGTATTCAATAATAAATCAGTAATTTAATAGATTATTACGCTGCCATTTGCATCTGTATCAATACTGAGACAAACTTATTCAAATATAATTTAAAATAACACAGCAAAATACTCATTAACATATATGACAATTAAATTGCATACGTCAAAATGAGTACCCAAAACACACATTTATCACAATCACCATTTACACAGAATAAACTTTTAACAGCTGTATCCAGAACATATTATTGTAAGGTATACCAATTTTAGTTTGTATCAGATTTATTTAAGAGTTTCTTTTTAAAGAAGGGATCCCGTACGGCCATATAACGCGTTTGACTTAAACATTTGTATAACACTTGCATTAACCAGTTGCCACATATGTACCCTGTCAATAGAATTTCTCTCTTATACGCTTATAGAACATTTGGACCAGATTACACAGTCATGGTATCACCTGCATTTGTCAGAACTCTCAAAGACTCAAAATATTTATACTACTCCATGTTAAAGGCAATGCAAAATTTGGACTGGTCACTTTGAGTTCCCAAAAGTCATAAAAACACAGGTAAAAACCTTTGTCCATGGTTTTCTAATAATACATTCCATGACCAAAATATCAAACCCACTTCTGTACAGTTTGGGTCACAATCAATAAAATAAAATTAACCCTTATATGAACAGCTAGGATAGATAGGGAGATGGATATTTGTATCTACAGAGGTGGTGCCAAAGAAGGAACCTGGTAAGTACCGGCTTATACATCATTTGTCGTATCCAAAAGGATTGGCGGGGAATGATACTATTGATAAGGATCTTTGCTTGGTGTCTTATACATCATTCGACAATGTGGTCGATGTAGCAGTTACCCCGTGCAGCAGAGGGGTTTCATCCTCTGGAGGGTGTCCTTTTTCCAGATCAGTGAGGAGGATTCCCAGCATCCAGTCGTGATCCAAGTGAAGAAACTCTCACAAGAGCTAGCGTGAATAGCTGTATAGCGGTTACCCCCAATAAGAGACAGAACTTTAGATTGAGGGTGAAGTAGAACTGATTTTTAATGGCATGTACTCTCTGTTTATGCAGTGCTCCCATGCAAGGGAGACACCCACAAGCAATTATACATTAACCAATCAATGATAAGGTATATCCTACATATCCCCTCCTCTGA